CAAAAATACTATTCATTTCAATCACTTTAAACTTGTTTTTGCATTGTTTTAGCATTAAATGTAATATTTGTTTTGTAAAAATAGTAACATTCAATTATATCCATTTTTATAAATAGAAAATTACAAAGATGTGCAAAAGGCTAGTAAAGAGTACCACAGCACAAATCAATCACTATTTTATGGGCCAATTGTATTTTTAAAATGGCTTTTAAACAGAAAATAGTGAAACATCTTTCATATTTACATAATATTTTATTTGAACTTATATTTCTCATTTAATTGCAATATTTTTAGTATAGTTTACGTTTTTTGATAGTCAAAAACTTACAACTTGTTACTCTATAAGTGACCATTTTATGAATTTCCTAAAACACAACACAAACTCAATTACTGTGTATAAAAATTACATAATATGGTATATTTATAAAATCAATAACTATTTGTATTTATATTTCATCGGTTAATTAAATAACTGAATTTTAGTTATTATTGTCTAATGAGCAAATAATTTACAATAAGTTTTAAAACAAATTAATGTTTATTTGTTTGATTACTATTTAATTTAAATTTCTTAAATATGTATACACTTATAACTTTTATGCAATAGATTTTTAAACCATTAAAAAAATATAAATGAACAATAGAGTCATAAAAATAGTTTTATTGCAAACAATTTAGTTTTAAAATAGTCAGCAGAAAAGTTTAGAAACATTTCAATCAATATTTTATTGTTTGTACATTTATTTGATTGATCCTCGCACAAAAATATGCGCTAATTGAAATCTATATATACAATTATTGTTATATTGTTAGTTATAAACATACAAAATGCTTTATATGACCTTAATTTGTTTGTACAGTGTATAACTTTATAGCTTATAGCGGGTAAGAATCGGGTAAATAAAGGTAAATAATATATTGTCTATGGGAGTATATAAAGCTTTAGGTAAAGCTAACTTGTTGAGAAGTTCTAATAAATAGTAGTGTATACTGTATACAGTATACAATATGTTTAATGTTGTCATACAAGCGCTGACCGGGACATGAAGTGCACGATTGAACTTAATGTCCGTTTAAATGATTCTGTCGGTTAACTACACCCTTCCCAACATTCAATCCATTTTACTGACACCTCTCATACATGACATGTACATTGTATTTAATACTCATAATAAGTTTAATACATTTTTACAAATTGTCTGTGATTTATAATTATTACTTTTAAGTAATGTCCGGTATTTCCAGTCCCTGTCCGTCATTTCTACAGGTTATGAAAACATTTAGTTATTGTACATTTTAAATGCCTCGTAAAACACCATAATTATTGTATATTAAGTTAAGGAGTTGTCAAAACTTCAATGCAAATAATAATTTCATATTCATGATAAATAATTAATTTTTAATATTTTATTAATGCATTTACAATATTATATTTAATTTAACATGATGCATATTGATAATCACGAATTCAATGCTATAATGTTTAAAATCAAAATAAGTAAAAGTAATTCTAATTTACCCGAAGCTATGTTATCCTAAAATAACAACAAATCTTTATACGAAAGTTCTTTAATAAGTTACTAAATACAAGAATTTAGAGATTTTTGCACACGTTTTTTATGCATATCTTATGTTATAAATTGATTAATAATTTAGAAACATAACATTTAATAAACTACAGTGTAGTTATTATTCTACATTATAAAGGTGAAAGTGAAAGGTCACATTAAATTAAGTCACATTTATGAATAAATTAATTTTATTTCAACAAATTTTACACAATATTGAATAGATTTACTGTACAACCAATTTATTAATAAATTTGCCAATAAATTATAAATTATTTATTATAAATACATTTTCATTTTTATATTGATATAACACACAAATAAATCAATTGTCGTCGTCCTCACCAAAGGGATAGTCGGGATGTGAGGGCATACTTATAGGCAGCAGATTTCCCGGATATATAATCTTTTGCAATTGTGGTATTGCATTGATTTTGTCCATATCTTGTTGATCGAGAGCGAAGTTAAGTGAATCCAAATTCTCCTTTTGATGGCTCTTATCGAAAGATCGTGGTATCACAATATTTCCTCTTTGCATATTCCAACGCAACGACACCTGATATACGGTCTTCTTGTGTTTGTCGGCCACTTCTTGCAGTACATTGTTGTTCACCAGTTCTGGCGAACACTTCCTCAGCGGTGAGTAACACATGACAGACATGTTGTGGCCTTTTATCCAATTCGTCAGCTTATCGTTTCGGTACAGCGGATGGCATTCAACCTTCAATTGTTAAGTATTTTCTGTTCATTAATTAGATTTTCAATTTAACAATGAATGTAAATGTCAACTGAAAATAATAATAGTGTATACGAGACCTGAACAACAACTGGTTTGATGACAGCCACCGATAAAATCTTTTTAATTTGATGAATGTTGAAGTTTGCGAGACCTATATATTTGACGAGACCGAGCCGTTCAGCCGCTTCCAGGCCTCTCCACGCCTCCAAATAGCCGACATCTCTCTGCGGATAAGGGGTTTGAATGGATCCGTTGGCCGAATATGTGAAGTATTCGCGAGGATTACTCTCGTGAGGAGTGATTGATATGGGAAAGTGGATTAAACCAAAGTCCGAGTAATCAAACTGTAAGTCCTGTAACTCCATCTTCACGTTTTCAAAGGCCCGCTCTCTCGTATGGAAAGTGCTCCACACTTTGGTCACTACAATCAGTTCATTCCGAGTGATATTTGTTGTGTCCATCAGTTGTCTGATGGCTAAACCCAAATGTCTTTGATTATCGTATTTATATGCCGTATCTATTAATCGATATCCGGATTCAATTGCGTTCAAGAATTGGCTGATCTTTTGGTTGTCATTCTTCTTGAGGTCGTCAGACGATCCCAACCCTATTGGCGGC